TCATCTGAACCTCATTCAGAACCTCATTTTGGGCCTAATCTGAAACTTATTTGAGCCTCATTCAGAACCTCATCTAAGCTTAATTCAGAGCCTCATTTTGCGACTAATTTGAACCTCATTAGAGCCTCACTTGGGCTCATTTGAGCCTCATTCAGAGCTTCATATGAGTCTCATTCAGAACCTCATTCAGAGCCTCATCAGAACCTCATTAGAACCTCATCTAAGCTTGATTCAGAGCCTCATTTTGTGCCTAATCTGAACCTCATTAGAGCTTCATCTTAGGCGTCATATGAGCTTCATTCTCGGTCTCATCAGAACCTCATTCTGAACCTCATCTGAGCCTCATTCAGAACGTCATTATGGGCCTCATTCTTAGCCTCATCTGAACCTCATTCAGAGCCTCACCTGACCCTCATCAGAACCTGATCTGAGCCTTATTCAGAACTTAATCTACGCTCAATTCAGAGCCTCATTCTGGGCCTCATCAGAACCTCATCAGAGCCTCATTTTGGGCCTTTTCTGAACCTCATTCAATATGTCATCTAAGCTTAATTCAGAGCTTAATTTTGCACCTAATCTGAACCTCATTCAGAGCCTCATATGAGCCTCATTCTGAGCCTCATTTGAGCCTCATCAGAACCTGATCGGAGCCTTATTCAGAACTTAATCTACGCTCAATTCAGAGCCTCATTCTGGGCCTCATCAGAACTTCATCTAAGCCTTATCCAGAACCTCATTTTTGGCCTCATTTTGGGTCTCATCCGAGCCTCATTCAGAACCTCATATAAGCTTCATTCACAGCCTCCTCAGAGCCTCATCTTTGTCTCATTCAGAACCTCATTTTGGGTCTTATCAGAACCTCATCTGAACCTCATTCAGAACCTCATTAGAGCCTAATTCTGGGCCTCATTTAGAACCTCTTTCAGAACCTCATTCAGAATGTCATCTAAGCTAAATTCAGAGCTTAATTTTGCACCTAATCTGAACCTCATTCAGAGCCTCATATGAGTCTCATTCTGGGTCTCATTCAGAACCTCATCTGAGCCTCATCAAAGCCTCATTCAGAACCTCATTCAGAACCTCATCAGAACCTCATTCAGAACCTCTTCTAATCTTCACTCAGAGCCTCATTTCTGGGCCTCATTAAGAGCTTCCTATGAGTCTCATTCAGAGTCTCATCAGAGCCCCATCAGAACCTCATCTGAACATCATTAGAACCTCATTCAGAACCTCATTCAGAACCTCATTCAGAGCCTCATTCATAGCCTCATTAGAACCTCATCAGAACTTCATCAGAACCTC